CAAATGTAGATATGATAGAGCCCAGTAGGCTCAGGAAACTGTACTCCAGTTGATTGACAGTTGAGAGGCGGGACCAAAGAGCCAGAGCTCAACACCCCCCCCCCCCCCCTGCAAGCAAAACTAGGTGGGTGAGTACACACACACACATGACGTACCTCACCGCACGTACGAACGTGCCGGAAGTACGGTCAGACATCAGTCACTAGCGCAATATTTTGAATTTAATTCAATATAATATTTCTAACCAGAAGCCTAGCACTGAGACACGCAGAGGTGGCTTGGCGCCAACATGGTAACCGTTTGCGAATGGTTGAAAAAAAAACATGTTCATCTGTGCTCGGATATGCATGTATATTACTGCTACTCATAAGAATCATTAAGTTTTCATAACCAGGAACGAAAATACAATTTATGAACCGTTTACACCGCTGCGGGTAATGGAAGACATTCTTGAGAGCAGAGGTGACATTCTTGAGAGCGCGCTGATAATGCTGCGCGTGCGCGCGGTCTGCTTGCTGAGGATATTTTTGTAGTCGAGTGCCTTGGCTCGGTTTCCCTCATTCTTAGTTTGTTCTTCATTTGTGTCCTTGGTATTTACTTTCGATTCAAGGTTTCTTGACTTTTATGTTTACGTATTATTGTCATCAGAGAATATATATTCACTGTATATAAGGAACTATAACAAACTCTATCTCCAGACAACACACAGCCCCTCTATATAAGTTCCTTAACATGCCAAACATACACTCACTCTACACATTCTCATGTATTATTTACTTGTACAAAACCTTGTTCCTAAATGCTAATCTTGATCTGATCGTTTCCTTGACAGATGTAATAGAACCCATGAGCACCACACCAGAAATAAATATCACTTTGATATCACCAGAGTCAAACTAAATCTGTGTAAACACTTCATGCAAATAAAGACACTCAGTCTATAGAACTCACTTCCTAATGAATTAACAATTGTCCAACCTATGCCTTATTAAAAAAAAAAGTACCTAATTTCATCCTCATAGTTTCCTACCTTGTGCTTCAAACTCACACTGTATCTTGTACTACCCTCTTCCCCAACATAATATACTTAAGACATATCTTCACCAGTGTAATCACCTTTGTTAATATATATTGTAGTTTTTTTTATATAAAAACCTTGCTACAATGTACCCTTTCAGCTTACCTGATATGTTGGAATAAGGACCTTCCTGAAATAGTTTGCGTGTTAGTGGTTGGAATTAATGGTGGAATTAGTGGTTGGAATGGAGTTAGTGTGTTGGAATAAGGACCTTACTGAAATAGTTTGCGTGTTAGTGGTTTAACAAGGATGTACAAATACCAATCCTATGTAATCTCCCCAATCCATTGTACCTTCCTGTGAATAAAAATTATTATTATTATTATATTACCAATATTGCCAGTTTTTACCATGAATGTTAAAGGCAGTGAACTAGCATGATAGTCACAATGTGTAGCTAATTAAAGTGTTCTTATTATCTGTAATGAACACGTGAATCTTAATTTCCAGAACACAAGGCAATTCCAGTTGCTAAAATTTCGTATATGCGTTATATCTGGTCTATTAATTGCCGCCATACCTAGATTAATTTTACAAGTACGAGGGTGCGTGTCCACGTTATACTCGCGTGTAACAATATATGTCACCCCGGCCGATAAGTGCAATTGTAAATATACTCACATTTCCAAGGGACTTTTTAGGGACTCACCCTAAATCCATCAAAGTGTGAAATCATCTCATACAGCCAACCAACCATAGATGCAGCACGGATCATATTGCCAGGAGCCCCAGTGATCACTCCCACCGACAGTGTGCTGCTAGGGGCACCTCTGGGCTCGAGCACCATTGAGGAAGTCCTTGAAGAAAAGCTTAACTACCTGAGGAGGATAGAAGAACGAATAGAGGCATTGGATGCTCACGATGCTTTGTACCTCCTCACAAGGTGCCTGGCTTTGCCCAGGCTTACCTGTTTCCTAAGGTGTGCTCCCTCCTTCGACAGTCCAAAATTAACAGAATATGACGCACTCCTAAAATCAATAACCATGAAAGTGTTAAACCTCTCCCTGCAAGATGACCAGTGGGACCAAGCAACGCTCCCAGTTAGACTCGAGGGTATAGGTATTCGCAAGGCGACACAGTTAGCATTGCCGACATTCTTATCTTCGACCAGTGCTACAGGTGAATTAGTGAATGAAATACTACCAGAATACCTAAGAGACTCCATTGGGATTTATGATCCCAATGGAGCTGAGTGTGGCCGGAGTCGCGGAGCTCTATGTGGGAGAGCGTTGTAGCTGGATGAGGCGCGTAGTCTGCTGTCTGCTCTGTGTCGAAGCTGTAGTGTCTTGGGTCGATTAGAACTGCCTACACCGAGTACTACAATCTTGACTGGAGTTTGTACTGGTTTGCTATTCGATTGATTGATTGATGAAGATTAAGCCACCCAAGAGGTGGCACGGGCATGAATAGCCCGTAAGTGGTGGCCCTTTCGAGCCATTACCAGTATCAAGAGCTGATACTGGAGATCTGTGAAGGTGTGACTACACCCTACGTGACGGGAGATGTCTCCCGGACCAAGTGTGGCCTTTTGCTATTCGATTGATTGATTGATGAAGATTAAGCCACCCAAGAGGTGGCACGGGCATGAATAGCCCGTAAGTGGTGGCCCTTTCGAGCCATTACCAGTATCAAAAGATGATACTAGAGATCTGTGGAGGCGCAACTGCACCCTGCGTGACGGGAGATGTCTCCCGGACCAAATGGTGTTCTGTCAAACACGATGATGATGATTGATGAAGTTGAAGCCACCCAAAAAGGTGGCACGGGCATGAATAGCCCGTAAGTGGTGGCCCTTTTGAGCCATTACCAGTATCAATAGATCTGTGGAGGTGCGACTGCACCCTGTGTCGGAAAATCCGACACCATTTAATATCATACAGACAGATAAGAGCTGTGTTGTATAAACAAGTTACCCATAGAAAACGTAACTTGTAGTGGAATTACCGTCTAAAGAAAACGGGATATCATCACCACATACTATTATAATTCACCAGCTATTCTGCTGGGAATTATTCTTAAATACATTAGTCTTTGGACTTTACCATCATAAAAACATCTTATATAAATTAACTTAATTATCAATATTAAAGTAGAGTAAATGTGACCCTTCTATCACTTTCTGACATCTGGACAAGTAGGCCAGGCGTCAGTGAGTGGGGAAGGAGGGCAGCGATTGTTGTGTCACCTCCGAGACGTGTGGAGCAAATTCGGCTCCTATCATTCTGGACAATGTCGGCCAGTAACGTCAATAGTATGGAGTGTTAAACAGCCATTGTGTATACGAGACCAGAGGCACACGGGAGCAAATACGGCTCCTGTTAATTTTGCTTGGACGTAGTGTTATGGAAACCAAAGGTACCATCTCCAACACGATGTCTACAATTCAAGTTAAGTCTATCCGAAACCCGTTTATCATTCATTTATGGCCATTAATGTCAGGATATAGGGTGACCCGGTTAGATCGCGAAATCGCCTCAAACTAAAGGTAATTAAGCCAGGTCTTCAATGTTCCATGTACAGTTTCTCTGAAATACTTGTCATATATAGGATTCTGGCTTCACAGCTAGCGCACTTTTGACAGGTCAAGACGAGGATGGAAGACTTTGTGCACCAGTTACTGGGTGAGGAAGCTACCTCAAAGAGGATAATTTGGTGTCTACACCCTAGTTATACCTGGTGGACTAACCTGCTGTACTATAAGATAAGGAACCTCTTCAATGTATGTAGTTACTGTAGTTTGATTGGCTGCATATATATATTAATTTAATAACCCCCCCCTAATGTGTAGAGGATCGATTTGTGAGATTGAGATTATTGCAGAAATACAGTCCACTTATCATTATACAAATTGCTATCGAAGTATATAAATTAACGTAAATATAAATTCATATAAATTAAATAAATATAAATCTCACAGGTCGGTTCCCACACCCTGCGTGACGGGAGGTGTCTCCCGTGTTTGCTATTCTCAAATCGCTGGCTTATATACGGTGACTACACCTCACAGTAAGATAGGAGGGTGGAAAACCCGTTACCTATAAATAGGGATAGGATTATAGCTTGTGTAATTAGTTATGCCATTAAGATGATGAGATAATGGAGCGAGTATAGTTTTACTCGCTACATAACAAAGTGATTGTACTTAAAGTACAATAAGCCATAGTTGAGAAAAAAATCAGAGCTACAGAAAAATATACATGGAGACATCATGTCAAAGACAGAGTGGAATTGTAACTAAAAATTGGTGAGCGGGGACAGGAGAGTCATGGTGACTGTTAGGGCTCTGACTGTTGAGATATAACAACCCTGTGCTTGAGAGTCTCACTAACACGAACCTCGTCTTTATCGTGACACATTGGATTAAAATGTTCTAAAAGAAGAGACTGTCGAGAAAAATTTAATAAGCATCCTCAAAGCAATACAAATGTACAAATGAGGAATTAAAATCCTTTCATTTGACGAGTGGCTCGACAGCCGGGCTTGGGAGAACATGTTGGATCATACAAGCACACCTCGGCTTGTACACGGAGATGAACACGAGACTATCAGCACGGCTCCATGCCATCATAACTCCTATACAGTTAGTTATAGTACTCCATACACCGCTTCAAAGATAAACATAAACAAAGTTTCCGTAGCGCAGTGGTAAAACACTCGCCCGGCGCTTTGCGAGCGCTTTAGCCTGCGTTCGTATCCTGGCCGGGAAGGATTGACTGGGCGCCAATCTAAAGCCAATCCTTGACAAAGGATTGCCTTTGTTCACCCAACAGTGAATGGGTACCAGGGTCGTATTCCAGGGGGGGAAATTAGGATTAAGGACCTTCCCGAAACGCTATGCGTGCTAGTGGCTGTACAAGAATATAAGAACTCTTGTATATATAAATTAAAATCAGAAAAACTGACCTCATGCTCTCTCTAACAGGTTGATGAACCGCATAAAGCCCGGTTGCATCCCAGAGGAAACCATCACATGGGAGGGCGCTCGTAGCAAGCAGATCAACATACGCAACTTCCTGGAGCAAGCAGAGACGTACGGCGTGCCCAAGGCCAAGCTCTTCTTTGTGGAGGACCTGTTGCACCTGAGACACATCCCCAGGGTCACGAGGTGTATCTACGCCCTGGCCAAGCTGGTGAGTGTACTGGGTGTGTGGTGGGTGACGCATGCCACGGGGATGGCTCTAAAGTTTCGGGGCGGGAAATGCGTTTCAGGGCGAGAAAATAAGTTTTAGGGCGGGAAAATGAGTTTTAGGGCGGGAAAATGAGTTTTAGGGCGGGAAAATGAGTTTTAGGGCGGGAAAATGAGTTTTAGGGCGGGAAAATGAGTTTTGTGTAGGGAAATTAGTTTCGGGGTGGGAAAATGACCCACAATTTTCATTACCGCATTTATGAGCTTAAGAGAGGCATCGCGATATGCAATGAATATTGTGCGGCTTTTGTTCATGTTCACCACACTGGCTATAATATTGATTTGAATATTTTACATCAGTGTTCACACTGGAAAGGTTAGACGCCATCCCATCACCCACACAAAAATTTAAAGGAGGTGAGGAGAATGAATTCAGGGATGTACCCATAACATGTGACATGATCAGGAAGAACACTGATAAACTAAAAGACTCAAACGCCCCAGGTGTGGATGGACTCCAATCCAAAGTCATAAAGGAACTGGCAGAAGAACTATGTCTGCCACTGAAATTACTTTTCACAAAATCTCTGAACCAAAGCTAATTAAATTCCCTAGACTCGAAATATGCAAATGTCACAAAAAAGTCTTCAAAAAGGCAGAAAGAGCTCGGCAGAACACTACCGCCCGACCAGCTTGACATCACACATCTGCCGAAGCTCGTGGAGAGAATCCTAAGGGAGGGAATCCTTCACCATCTCACAGAGAACAATCTTGTACAGTCAACGCAAGATGGGTTTGTTAAAAATAGATCCTGCCTTACAAACCTGCTCACATTTTTGGAAACGGTAACCAGCTACTCAGACAAAGGATAGATCACCTTACTGTCCACCTAGCAGTAACCCAGGAAACACAAACCGAAACTGTCTCTATTTTCCGCTTGTTACAACTTGAAATAAAGTTGTTATATCTTGGCTTAACGTGTTTATGACGTATTAGAACGTTGTTACAACTTGCTATACTGGTTGTTATAACTGGTTAGGAGGTGTTAAAACTTGTTCGAACGTTGTACCAACGTCGTAGTTTCGGTGTGTGTTTGGCGGGAAATAGGTACCCAGGAGTTATAGTCAGTTTGTTGTGGGGTTGTATCCAGGGCTGGGTCTGTAATTCAACCCTGGAGGGGGGGGGGAAACTTCGGTATAAGCCTAACATGGACTATATGTGTAACCTGGCTTCCTGTCCCCAGACACAATGAATTATTATTATTATTATTGCAAACCACATTATCAAATTTGCAGATGACGCAAAGATTTATGGTAAAGTGGGAAATGATAATGATATCGAAGCCTTACAAAGAGATCTACATGAACTCCACAAATGGTCAGAAGACTGACTAATGCTTTTTAATATTGACAAATGCAAGACCCTGCATGTGGGGCATAACAGCCCACACCACCACTACCAAATTAATAATATTACATTGCAGCAGATTGATGAAGAAAAAGACCTTAGAGTCAAAATCCACCATTCAGTGAAAGTTGCACAACAGGTATTGAGGTAGGAGCAGCGGTCAAAAAAGCTAACCAAACCCTTGGAATAATCAAGCGTACTTTTGACTTTAAGGAAAGGAAGGTGGTGATTCAACTGTATAAGTCTCTGGTGTGCCCCTATTTGGATTATTGTATCCAAGCATGGAGACCACATCTTCAGAGGGACATAACTGCTTTGGAGAAAGTGCAACACTGGACAACGAAAATCGTTCCAGAGCTAAGTCACCTCTCGTATCAGGACCGGTTGAGGGCCACAGGGTTAACAACACTGCAAACCAGGCATGATAGAACGGATCTTATTAATAATTAAAATACTGAACAATTTGGAGGATGCTGATCCGGACAATTTCTTAAGAAGGTCAGATGTAACACAAACAAGGAGCAACGGTTTCAAGCTCAACAAGCCACAATGTAGAACTGAGAACAAGAGAAGCATTTTCACCAACAGGGTTATTAACCCATGGAACCGCCTACCCGCCAAAGCCGTAAAGGCCAAAACTCTTAAATTTGAAAGTACAACTGGAAAAGATCATCAAGGCAAAAGGGGGACCTTCGACAAGCCGCCGGCTTCCTGTCGTCGTCGAGGCCACTAGTGTTAGTGGCCCTCAGGTAAATTTCTTTTTCCTCCCCTTTCCCTCAAAGTTCCCCCCCCCCTCTCCTCTTTTTCCCTCCTCTACTTTTCTCTTTCCTTCTCTCCCCCCCCCACCCCCAACTCTCTCACCTCTCCCATGCTCTGTATCACCCTCCCCGTCCATCTCTCAACATCTCCCTCCCTCTCGTCGCCTTTCTCATAAAATGTAACATAATGACGTACTGACAAGTTGTTAAAAACTATGGAAAACAAATACCTTCTTTAAGACTTCAAGGAAACTGCAAGGGGTCACAATTATTGTCAATATTGCTTACTTATTGCTTAATATTGCAATATTGCAAAAAACGCTATGCGTACTAGTGGCTTTAGGTATTGTATATACTACCTCTATCTATATATCCAACATTATGATTGTAAATCAACTATGTATGTACTTTCCTGAATAAAATTTACTTTACTTTACTTTACAGAGTGGTACTGCAGGGGCCAACCCCAACTGACCTGTGACATTCCCATACCGCCATGTGTCATCTTGGAAAGTTGGGTGAGGCTAGCCCGTTATTCATAAGATAATAATAATAATATTATCACGACAGGTAGCCGAGGATCCTAACATGGGCCCCGACTGTCCCAAGTTGGGAGACGAGCCCAGTTTCATGCAGGACCAGCCCAAGAAGAAAGTGGAGATTCCTGGTCACAGGGACACCAAGGAAGTCATGGCCCAGCTTACAGCTCAGAAACCCAAAGAGGAGAAGAAGGTGGTGAAGCACTCGCTCTACCAGTGAGGAGGAGGCGGGAGAAGAAGGGGAAACATAGACTGGATGAGGTTTTCGTAGAAGACAGGGAAAGAGGAGGAGAAGAGTAAATATTCAGGGTGACATGAGCAATGGATTTTTGACAAGGATCAATGTGCAGAGGGAAGAAGTGTGTGAGAGATGCTAAAGTGACGGTATAGAAGAGGACATAGTAAAGATTATATATACTAATGAACGGCTGCAGTAGCCACATTTAATTGTAGTCGTATCACATTTTTTAAGTAACAAGCAAAATTTTTTTTTAATTGGAAGACAAAGAGACGTAGAGGTCAGTAAAGCGAGCACCTTAATCACCGGAAGTGCCCCTATCACCTACGAGTGCGGAAGATATTCAAAAAACGTCGAAGCAAATGCTATGTAAATCATATTTGAAAACCGACGATTGCATATATCTTATAGGTATTTTTTTTTTTTTAGTTCCTAAGATAGAAACTGCAGCTCACATATATATACAATCACAAATATTTATTTCGACTTCTGTACTATTAAAAGCATAGTTTGCCACATTAGCTGAGTGATAGTTTTGTATTGACTGACGCGCAGTTGTGACTGATGAGTCACAGCCCGGCCTCTCGAGCGTGCACAACGTCATTAAACTGATGTACTAAATTGCCCGAACTTAGCCTAACCGAGGACCCACGAATAGAAAACGGAACATCGCGTTAATTTTGCGAGCCGCTATATGACTTTTAGTACATCAATGTTTAGCCTAAGGGGGATTTATACGTTAAAATGCAAGGTACTACCCGCCAAACACACACCGAAACTACGACGTTGGTACAACGTTCGAACAAGTTTTAACACTTCCTCACCAGTTCCTTGTAACAACGTTCTAATACGTCATAAACACGTTAAGCCAAGATGTAACAACTTTATTACAAATTGTAACAAGCGGAATATAGAGACAGTTTCGGTTTGTGTTTCCAGGGATTCGAGAGGAAGTTGGTCGAAGCTAACTCATAAGATGAATGACTGCTTGACATAAAGTTAAGTGGCAGACCACTTACCCAACATGCAGTTATTCGACAAGAAATTCAGTCTTCTTAATAACTCAACCCGTCCTCGGACCAAGTCCATGTCATCTAGCGGTCGACCACCACTGACGCAGTCATCGATATTAACATCCGTGAGTAAACTATTTTTCATTCATAAACAGGGGGTTTGGCGGGTGCATGGAATGGACTTTGGATATTTGTTTGGAGGACGGGCTGCAACCCGTCCTCCTAACAAAGACCTAAAAGTGATTCCATGCACCCGCCAAACCCCCCTGTTTATGGATAAAAACGGTTTACACACGGACCAACTGATTTCGTTCAAACACTTCCGAAACAATTGCTTCTGACGAATTTTGTTCGAACCACAACGCAGTAAATGCTTCACCCACGTACTACAAATACAAATAATCGCCAACAGAACCTAATTCAACACCTAACCTAACCTATGCCTATATATATGCACAATACGTTAATATATTATAATGTTAATTTATATTTTAGAAAATTCCCGTTTTGAATGAACAACATGTAAAAAAATTTCAATGCGTCTGTGGGGTCGACCGCTGGATGTAGTGGACCTGAGTCCAGGACGACTCGTAGATGTTCACTGACTCACTGGAGACTCCTCCAGTTAACAGATGAACAACCCACAACTGAGCCAGATTGCATGTGTGGAACTATCGGTTTTCCGAATTACGCTGCTTGTGTCATATTCCAATATGCATTGCTTAATGACTAATGTATTGTAGTATATACAACATTAAAAAAAGGTTTATGTTATAGTCAACAACGCCTTCGTACAAGGTTTAATATGTATACAAATATCAATATCTTGAAATAGAAAACGTGGACTTTATGATTTAACCCCAAGTTAAATGTAGTTTAAGACAACTCCAACCCAAAGTTAACTTCCAGTGGAGGTCAGTTATCACAGATGCCAAGTTATATCTTCAAGTTAATCCACCGGAAGTCAACTACGACAAAAGCTATTTTAATTAAGCCTACATTTCAAATAAACTATAATTGTTATACTGTTAGTCCAATAATTTGCATTCTTACACAATAAACTTTGAATAAAAAATGTGAAGAATAGTTTTTTTTATATGTAATGACCATTAGTTTCAGAATTAGACACACACACCTACATACACACAGTTGCATAGTGCTCCTGGCAGTATGGGTTATCTTGAGGTTATCTTGAGATGATTTCGGGGCTTTTTAGTGTCCCCGCGGCCCGGTCCTCGACCAGGCCTCCACCCCCAGGAAGCAGCCCGTGACAGCTGACTAACACCCAGGTACCTATTTTACTGCTAGGTAACAGGGGCATAGGGTGAAAGAAACTCTGCCGATTGTTTCTCGCCGGCGCCTGGGATCGAACCCAGGACCACAGGATCACAAGTCCAGCGTGCTGTCCGCTCGGCCGACCGGCTCCTCAAGTCACTTCTAGGGTGTAAGTTTTCAGTTGCATATATGCCTGGTGACCATTCAGGCTTGAACAAATCCACTACGGCCGTGACGAGGATTCGAACCTGCGTCCGAGAGCATCCCAAACGCTGCCTTAATCGACTGAGCTACGACATGGTCCTATTGACATAGCTCGAGTGCATGGAGGGAGTTGTGTAAAACTCTGGTTTGTGCCTTGGAGAGGCTGCAGGATCCAGTAAGTTCAGTAGAACTTCGGTTTCAACTCCTTTTGACCATGTCATAGCTTAATGGATTAAGGCAGCGTCTGGGATGCTCTCGGACGCAGGGTTCGAATCCTCGCCACGGCCTTTGTGGATTTGTTCATTTGATGCATCACACAATTGTGATTTCTATGTGTCATTAAGGCTTGTTCGCATTTGTGTTCCTCACGTGTGCCCCAAAGAATGAGGTGATTTGATAAAATACCATGCCCAAGATGGAAGAGAAGAGATGCCCAAGATTCGAGGAGAAGCTCGAACCAGCCACGTGACGGACTGGACCGATCAGCTGAAAGAGGCGGAGACGCGGGAAAACTTCCAGGTTTGGACACCGAGCAAGCAGCGCCTGAAACCAAGGCTGGGCCGGCCACCAAGGGGCCAACAGGTTTACTCTCCCCTGGTAAGTCTCCAAGCAAGCCAGGACCTGAAGCAACAGCTGAACTGGGGGAAAGAGGTACAGGAACTCCCACCTCGACCAGTCCTGCCAAAAGGCATCGACCTGGACAGCCTTGCAGTCGGGGAAGAGCGCTACATATACCGGAAGAAGCCTCGACCACGCAGACGCGAAGAGGTCCACATCCAGATGCCCGAACGTCTGGCAGAGCCAACTGAATGAGTCGGCGTCAACCATCAATTCCATGGACAGGGGAACAAATCGAAACAGGCCGTCTGCCAGAACGTTGGACACGCCCCGAACGTGAACCACCAGGATAGCCAAACTCTGAGAACTCAGCAGACGAGTCACTCAAAGCGACAAGCCCCAAAGAGCCATGGACCGCATCGAACCCCCCATAGTTCAGACAATAAACCACAGGGGAGCAGTCTGAATGGAGCCGGATCGTTGATGTGTGGGCGACCCCCGAACCCTCCGAAGAGAATACCACACCGCCGCGATCTCTCGCACTGTGCTGTGGGCTCGACGGAAGGACGTACCCCACCGCCCCTGGCTGGCCTGGTGAACACTGGTCACACAGCCCCAGCCCAGAGACGACGCGTTCATGAACACATCGAGCGAGGGGCTCAGGTAAACGCCAAGGCACTGAACTCCGAAAAACCCGAAGAGGAAGCCGGTGATGCAGCAGCCAATGCAAGGCCCCCAGCGGACAAACCCAGCAATCGTGAGAGAGGCAGAAGGGACGGCTCCGAAGAAACCAGAACAGCCGACGAAGCCAAATCCGACCGGGCGGGTAGACCATCACAGCAAAGTTCAGGCTCCTGCACAAACCCTCGAGCAACTACCGAGTGACCCGAGAGAGCCTAGAAGCAGGAAAAGGCGGGACCGCAGCCGAAGGAGAGACTCCAGAAGGAGAGACAAGGAAACGGTCCAAGAGTCCCACACAAGACCCAGCCAAGTCCGAACCTGGCAGGGAACTAAATGGGACTTTCTCCAGTTCACCTAAAACTTGAACCCGGCGAGCTGGGAAAGAACCAAATTCCTGGCGAGCAGACAAGCGGACTGGCTGGAAGCCCAGATCAGCCAGTCGCTGAGGTAGGCCAACACCCGAACACCTTAGAGATGCAGACGGGCCACCATGACCCGAGTAAGGCATGTGAAAACACGAGCTGCCAGGTTCAACCCGAACGGGAGACAACGAAAGTGGTATTTCTGATGCCCCACAACAAAACCGAGCCAGTCCCTGAACCCCAGATAAATCGGAACGTACCAATACGCGTCCCGGAGGTCCAGGGACACCATCCAAGTGCCCAGCTCCAACAGAAGCCGGACTTGGGACAGAGTAGTCATCCGGAAGGAGAGGCAATGAACCTAGGGGTTCAGACGAGACAAGTCCAGAATGAACTGCAGGTCCGCACAGTCCCGTTTCGGGACTGGGAACAGACGGGAAACCCATCTAAGAGACGTCGTCGTTTCGACCACGCCCAAGCGTACTTACTCCAAGATGACCTATAAGAGCGCAGGAGAAGAGGCCTGCCCTGCGAGCCCCGAACCCCCCCCTCCCCCAAAGGAGCTGGGGCCAACCCAACGCCACCTCAGGACGTCGGGAACGACCCGAAAATTCCACAAATCGTGGGACCAGGTGTGAGCCAACAGAGCAAACATTCTCCCCCCCCCAAATTGCCCCATCAATGGGACGAACCGCAAAAGGGCCGACACCCCTTACGAGAGCCCGAGCTCCGCACAGAGCGAACATCGCGCCGACCCGACGAAGACGGGTCTGAAGGCGGCGCCGGCTCCGAAACTGGTACCAGTGGCTTACCACGACGAGCGGAACCCCGAGCCCTGGCACGACCCCTCTGGGAAGACGCTTCCCTGGGATCCCCGGAGAACCAGCAAGTCGGACATCGGACGACAGTTAGCCGAGGCCGCCTGCAGATGCTGCGCTGCTGCAGAATCAACAAACAGCAAGGGACAAAAAGGCGAAGACAATCTAAAAGCCAGGGCCCAAGCAGGAAGCAAGCACTGTCTGCCAACACGTCAACACGCGAGCCAGAAGGGATAAAACAGTGACACTGCATCCCGCAGGATCTGTGTAAACAGCTTCAACAAGGCAGACGACAAACGCGCTGCCGAGCCCAAGGCGCTAGACTAGGAACGGCCCCAAGCGCCTCCACATCCTCCTGAAGCCAGTCAACAGACAGCTCCAGGAGGGAAAAGAAATGCAAAGCCGAAGCCAGCAGGCCATGAGTGCGCAAGTCCTCAGCAACCTGCAGCGCAGCCAAAAGGGAGGGAACCTGCACGTGAAGCTGCACGACACCCACATCCCGAGGAAGCGCAGGAGCGAACAAGCATTCATTGAGGTGCTCAAACTCGCCCGCCAGGAAAACCTGGATCACCGTTAACGACTCACACCACTCAAAAAAAAAAAAAAAACACTCAAGTGTGCAGGAATGACAGCGTATGCCAAGCCTCCAAAGCAAATACAGGACAGTCCGCCAGCCAGGACGACTCCGGAACCTCGTAACAAATCCAGTAGAGAAACGAAGACCCAAACCTGAACGTAGACGGATCCATAATAGAGGCGTAATCCGGGTCGCGCAGGAGGTAAGCCGCAATGGCCTCCTGCACCACAGCAGGACTGATGCGGGAAGCCGAAAACCTCTGGAAAGACAGGACCGAAGCAACCGAAGGGACACAGAACGAAAACTTGGGAGAGACACACTAAATCTAATTTGTACGCAGGGTGGGGGGGGAGAAAACCTCACTCCTTGTAACAGTAAGCCCTTCTCAGAGGGCAGAAAAACCCAGGTGGGGTCCAACAGGGCCCAAGATCCCTAGGTCAGCCCCTCCTCTGCCCCGGGAACCACTGCAGCAGGCCCTGGGGCCGAGTCATCTCCTAAAGCCCTAACCTCAAAAGAAGCCGGTGCAGCCGTAGAAGCCGGAAGAAAGGAGGGCCACTGGTCAGACACAGAAGTTTTGGCAGGGAGGAAAGACTCAAATGCCTCCGTCGCCAGCCCATATAGGGCATCCCCCAAGACCGCCCGAGTTTCAACACCATCTAAACCCTGCCCTGACCCCGAAACCCTCGGACATTTCGGAGCCAGAACCAAGGGGAGGGGGGGGGGACCAAACCGAACCACAGCAGGGGAAGGACGAGGGGGTGCAGACTGAACCAAGGTCGAACCACTGGTGCAGGACCACTGTGCCACCAGGGACAGTTGTGGGGCTTGAGTACTTTGTTCGAGCCCTGAAGGCTGTGGTGGAGTTCCTTTAGAGACTTGCTGATGGAACAACAAGCAGGACAAAACCTCGCATTTGACAAATAAAATCCTTTCAAATTAGAAGCCTTTATTTTGAGACATACAGTTTAGATGTCATGGGAGTACACTGGTACAAGTTATACAGTATATGGCAGGACTTGTGACACATCATACAAAGCACCTACTTGGCAGGACATTCTCAGTATTATCATTTAAAGTGATTGAACTTTTAAAATTTGGCATTACAGTAAAAAAAAAAAAAAAGATATATTAATCAGTCTAAAGAACTTTTAAAGATATTTTTTCAAAGTATATAAAGTACTTACTGTATTTAAAATATTGAATGGTCAGAATACCTTACTATAAATGGAAATGGCACTTTTAGTGATGCTGTATCTTTAAGGTTTGCGATAGTGTATGAACTAATAAAGTTGCCAGTCAGTTAAACTACATTACTATACATGACAATAAAATGACTTTCTTAAACTGCATGAAGAAAATAAGCTAATTCCAGTACATATCAACTGGTGCCACAGGGTCAGCTAAGAGTTAGATCAATCAAAATGTCAAAATACAGTATGTTACATGGCCATGTTACACGGTACACAGTACGATGGATGCTGGCAACTTAACAGACAGGTATATGGTATCGTGGATGCTGTCAATGTAAACAAGAAGTACACCATATGGGGCTAGTAGCTTTACCAGACAGGTGCATCACATAGTGCTGGCAGCTTACCAAACAGGTACATTGTATGGTGCTGATAACCTAACTAAAACGTACACCATATGGTGCTGATAATTTACTGAACAGGTACACCATGGGGTCCTGATAGCTCAGCCAACAGGTTCACTATGTGGTGCTGGTAGCTTAGCCAACAGGTACATCATGTGGTACTGGTAGCGCAGCCAACAGGTACATCATGTGGTACTGGTAGCGCAGCCAACAGGTACATCGTGTGGTACTGGTAGCTCAGCCAACAGGTACATTATGTGGTGCTGGTAGCTCAGCCAACAGGCACATCATGTGGTGTTGGTAGCACAGCCAAGATGCACACAATAAGGTACTGGTAACTCAAGAAAGATAAACACCATGTGATGGTGATAACTCCACATATACACCATGTGATACTAGTGATAGGTACACCATGCAGTGCTGGGCAGACTCTGCCAGGCCTTGTAACACCTGGCAAGTGGTCCAGCATGCAGACATGTGCTATATCCACATGCAGACTGGTTTTGTAATGATATTTTAAACAGGAAGACTGTATAGCAGTGATGGCATAGCCCTTGCAGATATACCATGTGGGAACTAACAGGTCAATTAGCAGGCAGACCATGTGCTACTAATAGATTACCTTGCATGAATAACATACATGCCATTATTTTGATCAACAGGTAGACCGCACTGTTCTTGCAGTTATCAGGTATACCATACGGCTCTAACAGGTTAACTATCACGTATACCATTTGTGACCTACGGATTACTCAACAGGGCACACCATTTGGTATATGCAGGTTAATTAACAGAAAGATCATACTTGTTAAGTAACAAGTTACTTAACAGGTGGACTATTAGGTGTTTGCCTTTCCATTGGAAACTTTCGGCGTCGTGTAGCGGGGGAGACCTGCTGCATGGGTGACAGCTTCTCCTTCATATCAACCTACCCTGGCTTTGCACCCTGGATAAGCCACTCTCGACTGAAAACCAGAGCACAACTCTATAGTCTCTTGAGACTGATGGATGCCTATTATTTGGCTCCAACAGATGAACCGAAAGGTACACCATCCATGACAAATGCTCAACTTCAATAGGTTATTTTCCCATCGAAGATATACTCTTTTTTTTTTATTTTCACAAAATATTTACAGCTTATAGACATTCAAATTCTAAAACACGTGAACATTATACAAATTTAGCATGTTACTGAAACTGATGTGGTTTGAAAGTCGGTGAATGTTAGCGCGATGTAATACAAGTTACCAACATAAATATATATGAAACTCTATACAAATCTTACACAATTTTGTGTTCTTTTTCAGAAACAGATTTCTCAATGTTACAAATTAAAACCCAACTTATGTATTTCAATGACATTAACAACATTTCAAACATTCTTAAAATGCTTCAAATGTTTATTTTAAGAACTATTAAACATGTTAGCAATAAAGATAAAAATAACTAGTACAAAATCATCCATAGGACACAATATTCTTATTGGTTATAAATAATTGCTATTAATATACCTGTACACAATTAGTAAGGAGAGAGAAAAAGAAAAAGTGGGTGGAAAAAATCAACTACTGAATTTCAATTTATTATTTTGTTCTTCAATGTATTCTTGCAGTCCCTTTATTTAGAGATGTATACAATAAATCTCCAACAACCACCTTTTTCTCCCACAAGACTGGTTACTGAATAAATAAAATATTAAATATTGTAATGAGGGCATGATGGCATCAGGTTATTGCAAGGAAAAGCATTCAAGGTTAATACAATCCTCTAGAAGTGAGCTGTCAGCTTTTCTTGCTTTCTGTAAGTGACAATTGCATTATAGGTGGTGATGCTTTAACAATATGTGAACATTCAAAACTGACAACCAATATCAAATGATTATTCAAAAGCTCGACTGTTTATCACTTCTCAGAAAGACCAGTCGGCAAGGAGTCAGCACGAGGGTACATCAATTCAAGTTACGAGAGAGCTTAGGGACAAAAGATGTAGCACTTGCTCCTCAGCCTAACCTTCTTTCTGATAAATCAATCATATTATGACAGCAAAACCATTCAAATAATCATTCTTTTATTATTAACAAATTAGTGAACTTAAACAATCGGGAGTAAGTTTGATGAGATAAGCTATCTACTCAAGTTCAAGCTCTCTACCTAAACACCTGCAAGGCTTGAAGTGTAACAATAACATTTCTAAAACATATCCTGTATTTAAAAATTATAATTATTGTGGTTAATTCCTTGACTTTTATACACTTTCATTATTAGGCAAACAATCCCATAAGAGGAACGGTTGTTAGAAAAATCCCCTTAACACGAGTGGCTTGAGATTAATTCTTAAAACAGCATTCTATACCTTCTGTTAAGACTGACATATGCATGTCTTGAAAATATTCCAAATATAACTGTCATATATCACTCTTAAGCTTAATTTCTTTGATGAAACTCACCGGTCACTTGACTCAGGTTATCAGTTCCATTCACATATCAAAAAGTTCAATTGCTGTTCAGCTTCAGCAGTTTAAAGATACTGTTCCCAATATTATCAATTTTTGAACCAAGAAACTTTAAAGACAGTGTTCATATCCCTCTGAGCATAGAGAGAAGAAGAAGAAAGGCAAGAATATTACTGTTAATAAATTAAATATTATCATGACTTTGTAGTTTCCTGAGATTCTAAAGACTTTGTCTCCTCTTTTGGTAGACTTTTATGTTCAACATCATCTTGATCTTGAGGTTCGGTTTGTTCTTCATACTTTGGTGAATCGTGTTCAGTTTGCGTGCCTGCATCAATGGAGGAAGCAGCAGACTGGAGAGAACCAGAACGGCTGGCTATGTTGAGCATTTCTCTTAAACCCTGTTGAATAAAAAAAATTTATGATGCAGTTGACACAGGTGACACATAAGGCATTTAAGGAATGCTATCTATTTATGGTGTATACCAATAGTCACATCAGAATGTTCATGATCTTCTGTATTCTGAAAAGCCAGAAACTCTTAATCCATATTTTTGAGATCACTGTAATTTACTGTCTTATAATACATACAAATATTGTAGGCACCTGATAATTCAGAGTAAAGTATCTGTAATTCATAAATCAACAATATTATCCAAAATTATACTACCTTATTTATAATTCATGAATTATAAATTCAAGTGCCTTTTGTCAGTGTCAAGTGCCAGCCCCCACACATGAGTAATTACCTAAGTGTAGTTACAGGATGAGAGCTACGCTTGTGGTGTCTCCGTCTTCCCAATACTCTGTTGTATAAATTTTTGAAACTACTGATGGTTTTGGCCTCCACCACCTTCTCACTTAGCTAGTTCCAACCATTTATCACTCTGTTTGCAAAAGAAAACTTTCTAACATTTTTGTTTTGGCACCTTTGTTTCCTTAGCTTGAATCTGTGTCCTCTTGTTCGTGAAATTGCTGGTTTCAGGCATGACAAAGAATTCCTTTGTCAATTTGGTCAATTCCTGTTAGTATTTTGTAAGTGGTGATTATATCACCTCTTTTTCTTCTATCTTCTAGTTTTAGCATGTTTAACGCCTCTAATGTCTTCTCGAAACACTTGTTTTTCAGTTCCAGAAGCCATTTTGTAGCATGCTATTGCATCTTTTTTAGTTTTTTTATGTGCTTCTTGAGTTTTGGGTACCATACAACAGCTGCATATTCCAACTTTGGTCTCACAAAAGTCATGAATAGTTTCTTTAGTATTTCATCATCCATATAACTAAAAGCAAGTCTGAAGTTGGAAAGTGACGTATATGCTCTACTCACAATGTTCTTTGTGTGTTCCTCTGGTGACAGCTTACTATCCAAAACTACCCCAAGGTCTCATTCTTTATTAGAGTTCTGTAATTTACTTCCACATAATTTGTAAGTTGGGTGTGGTCTATTTTCTCCAATTCCACATTCCATAACATGGCATTTATTCACATTGAATTCTATTTGCCGCTTGACACTCCAAGCACTTATTTTATCTAGATCAATTTGAAGGGCATCACAATCGTCTGAGTCTCCTGTCTTCAACAGTATCTTTTAGCATCATCCACAAACATGTTCAAATAATTCTGTATAAGTAAATATTTCTGATCATTTATGTAGATGATGAACATTACTGATGCAAGAACTGAACCCTGTGGTACTCTGCTAGTAACACTCCTCCAGTCAAGATATATTGTCTCTGATTACCGCCCTCATCTGTCTGTCAGTGAGAAAGTTTTCATCCATGTCAGCAGTCTCCCTGTCCAACCCATTCTCGCACTTGCTTATAGTCAATATTGGCTTATTAATAAGTGCATATGTGACATACTAATTTATTGTGAATATTTTAGTTTACCTTGAAAAGCTGAATAAAAAACACCGACCTAACCTAACCTTCTTAGTATGTTAAGATAAGCATCTTATTGCTTCTTAATTACAATTAGTACCTATACCTATATTGATATTACAGTTTTATACAAATAATAAAAAGAACCAAAATATTTAAATAAATTGTAAAGTAACTCAGGATATTGTCAAATATTGTATAAAATCTCTATTTTTTAATAAAACTGAAAAAGAAATTCCTAATATTAAAACTGGTGTTTAGCAAATCTATAGGAAGAGTTTATACCTTAAAAACAAAATGTAACTTGGCATATACCACATATGTACTTATTAATCAGCCAAATAGTGACTATAAGCAATAAGTCATATATGTACTGTCTTGTGCGAGAGCGGGTTGCCCTGTCACCCTTACAGCATGTTCCAGTTTCCAGAACGATCTCTTGAATGGGACTCTGTCAAAAGCTTTTTTTAGGTCTAGATAGACACAGTCAACCCAACCACTACTTTTCTGTAGTATCTTTGTGGCTCTATCATAAAAACTAAGTAGATTTGATACACACAAGATCTTCCTGTTCGAAAACCACACTGTCTGTCCACTATTATGTCATTACTCTCTAGGCATTCAATCCATTTGGCTTTAACTATTGTTTCTAGTGTTTTGACTACCACACATGTTAATGATATGGGTCTATAATTTAGAGGTTTCTCTTGACAACCATTATTATAAATTGGTACTATGTTTGCCTTTTTCCATATACCTGTTAAAATGCCTGCGCTCAAAGATGTCTGGAATATTAATTGAAGTGGAATGCTCAGCCCAGTAACACATTCTCGCAGAACCCAAGGTGAAACTCCATCAGGTCCAATTGCTTTATTTCTTCCAAGCCCCTTGATTAATTTGTCCACTTCGTCTTGAGATACATCTTTGTATTCTATGGCGTGCTCTAGAATTAGTATTGGGTCCGGTTCTGTGAAATCCTCATTTTTTACACACACACACTTTGGAACTGTTCATTTAGCTTTTCACACATTTCTTTTTCATTCTCAGTAGTACTATTCCCCGTTCTCAATCAGGCTGATACCTGTGTGTCTGCGTGCATGTGCAAGCATGGGTGTTCATACAGGTTATGACATGAGCGCTTCTCATTTTTGGTTGAATGAATTACCTTATTTTCAGTAGCTAGAGAAGTGATGAGTCTCTGCTGCTGTTGACTTTCGTCATCACCAAGTGACGCAGCTTTTCTCATGACTGCCACCATCTCACTTATTCTTTCAATTTGTGCTGCAAGCTGAAATAAATAGAAATCATTAGTTTTGCAACAGAAAGAAAAAATATTAAAAGAATTGATTTAATGCTGATACAGTACAGTATATAAAGACTTCTTAGATGACAGAAATAAGATTAATTGATTTATAAATAACTCCTGACATTATAACACTAAGGTCCTTGGCACTTTGAAAACAATGTTCATCTCAGTTTGTATTAGATTTACAAGTAGGGCTCTGTTACACAGCAGAACAGGGCTTACCTTAAGAGGCTGAAACACACCTAGTGTGTCTATGTTCTTTACCCATTAGGATTTCACAAATCAAACTTAGGTGACGTCTAGGTTGTGACAGCACATAATCCCCGCCACTACAGAAAGGTAGTGTTCCATTGGATGATAACAACCAAATCGCAGTGCAATTTATCCAAGATAACTGTTACCATTATCATTACAAACACTACCTCAGAAAAAGCATAACACAGTGAATTCAGAACTGTTAAAAAACCAGCCCTGAATGTAATGAAATGCCATTTTTTGGGTCAGATCCAGAGGCTCCCTGGAGCTATCCAGGCCGGTATGGATATATTAGACTTTGGCATCAGTCAATGTGCATGGAGTTTTAAGCCTACCAGGGACCACAAGCCAGAACCTGGCCCCCCTCAGAGAGGCACGAGAAGCAATGGCCTATAGAAACCCCCGTGTGGTTCGAAGCATTCTATGTCTGCCATTGACTGGGCCAGGCACCCAAATAGGTAAGCATCCCAAAACAAACCCCTATGCTGATTAACATTGCTACTGAAATCCGAACTAGTGCACAGTGAACTCCCCAAATGAAAACGAGCAAACAAGCATGACGTCGCCACCGTCTGTGCAACACCTCCCTTCCCAGGAGGGGGAAAAAGGAGCACAAGACCCTCACGCCGGCTATCCCCACCCCAGTTATGAGGCTGGATGTCAAAACACGCAAAAAAAAAAAAAAAAAAAAATGGCGACAGGAGGGAGGGAGGGTTGCCGGGGAGTCTCTGGGTCTTGCCCAGACAATGGCATTTCATTACATTCAACGCTGGTTTTCTGGGGTATGGGGGGGACCGCTTGCGGCTCCCCGGAGCTACTTACCCAAAGACAAAACCAAACAATAGGGACTTATCTGGGAGGCGGTCAGCTCTCGATCCTCAACTCGAAGTCGAGATAACTGGCCGCTACTGGACACAACACATGAAGCACCCCCCCCCCATCCTGCCTAACCAACCAGGTATCAACAACCCATGGACCCCTCTGGAAAGTAGCAGACTTGGGCTATACCAGAAAAGAAGGAGACAGCTGCAAACGAACAAACCTACCACCAGGGCCAAAAGAGCAGAAACCCCTGTGCTGGAGGAGAGGAGCATGAAGCTCCCTGACCCGACCCACAGAGGCCAATGCCAACAGGAAAAAAAAGAGCCTTAAAAAACAATTCTGAACAGAAGGGGCCACAACAAACCGAGGAGAAGAGAGAAAACAGAGCACCCGGTCCTACGACCAGAACTGCTCAGGCAGCGCATGAGCAGGTCAGAGGTGAAACAACACATGAGACAGCTTGAGGAACGAAGCAGATGTAACATCCACCCCGAACGTAAGTCAAAGCGGTTCCGCCAGTGTCGGACGATACGAGGTACCAGTATTCTGCATAAGATGACAGTCCTGAAATAACCAAGCAAGGAAGGAAAATACAACCTGATCCGAAACAAAACAAAACCTATGTAGAGACAAGAAACAATTACAGGACTGCCAGGAAACTTCATACTGCTGCCGAGACGAAGCACACAGGTGTGACACCATCAATGAAGCCACCTGCTCACCATACAAATGGTGATAGACCTGTGTCAGAAAAACCAGACGTGATGACTTGAGGAGAAGATCGAATCAGCTATATAATGGACTGGCCCGATCTGCTGAAAGAGGTGGAACCACGGAAAGACCCCCCCGGGTTTGGACTCCGAGCAAGCAGCTCCTGAAATCAAGACTGGGCCGGCCACCAAGGGCCCACCTCGACCAGTCCTGCCTGAAGGCATCGACCCCGATGGCCTCGCAGTTGGAGAAGGGCGCCACATAATTTGGGAGACGCCTCGACCATGCCAACATGAAGAGGTCCACCTCTGGGAGCCCGTACGTCCTACAAGAGCCAACTGAACGAGTCGGCATCGACCGTCCATTCTGTGGACCGGGTTAAGAACCATGACAGGCCATTCGCCAGGACGTTGGAACCCCCCCCCCCGAACGTGAATGGCCAGGAGAGCCAAACAGAATCATCTGAAGCAACATCCACACGGCTGCGAACTCCCACACTGTGCTGTCGAGCCGATGGAAGGATGGGCCCCACCGTCCCTGGCCGGCCTGGTGAGCACTGGTCACAAAGCCAAAGCTAAGAGACGACGCATCCGTGAGCACATCAAGCAAGGGCTCGGGTAGGTGCTAAGGCACTGAACCCCAAAAACAAGAAGAGAAAGCTAGCAATGCAGCAGCCGATGCAAGACACCCGGAGACAGAACCCAGCGATTACGAGAGGCAGAAGGGACGTCCCCGAAGGAAACAAAACAGCTGACAAAGCCAAACCCGGCCCAGTGGGTAAACCAACACAGCAAAATTCAGACTCCCGCACAAGCACTCGAGCAACAGCCTCATGACCCAGGAGCCCCCAGAAACAGCTGAAGGTGGGACCGCAGCAGAGCCTCTGGAGGGAGAGACAAGGAAGCAGTCCGAGAGTCCCACACAAGACCCAGCCAGGTCCGAACCAGAGATGGAACCAGATGGGACTTTCACCAGATCGCCAAGTACCAGGGTGTGGTAAACCCCAAGTGGTTCACAGATCTCTAGACGGATGAAGGTGTGAACCCCCTGATGCCCCTGCATTCTCCTGCATTCTGTCAGGTCATCTTGGAGTGGGTTTGTTTGGGCATGGTCGAAATGTCCTCATCCCCCAGGATTCCCACCTGTTCTTAGTTATGTAATGAGAATGTTACCGTAGGACCCCCCTGATGCGTATTCTGATGCCCCAAATCCCTGGCAAGCAGACACGCGGACTTGCTGCGAGCCCACACCAGCCAGGCGTCGAAGTAGGCCAGAACCCGAACCCCGAAGACATACAAACGGGCCACCATGTCAGATTCAAGCCGAATGGAAGGCAACAAAAACGGTAAGCGTGACGCCCCACAACAAAACCGAGCCACTCCCAAAACCCCAGATGAATCGGGACGTGCCAATATGCATCCCGGAGGTCAAAGGACACCATCCAAGTCCCCAGTTCCAAAAGAAGGCAGACCAGGGACAGAGTAGTCCTGCAAAAGGAAGGGCAAAAGACCCAGGGGTTCAGATGGGATAAGTACAGAATGAACCGCAGGTCTGCACATTCTCATTACATAACTAAGAACAGGTGGGAATCCTGGGGGATGAGGACATTTCGACCATGCCCAAACAAACCCACTCCAAGATGACCTGACAGAATGCAGGAGAAGAGGCCTGCCCCACCAGCCCCGAACCCCCCGAAGGAGGAGGGGGGAGCCATCCAATGCCACTGCAAGCAGCAAGAAACGACCCAAAATGTCCACAAATTGTGGGACCAGGCATGAGCAAACAGCATGGGGCTTTCCCCGCCTCCATTGCCCCATCAATGGGACAACCCACGAAAGGGCCGATGCCCCTTACAAGAAGTCGACCGACGAGCAGAGTGATACTCTGCTAAGGGAAGCCCAGGCAAGGTACTGCTAACCCTCACCCCAAACTACCAAGCGAACTATTAAGTGCTGAACCCCTGTGACGTGTACACTCACAGGGACCTAGTGGAGGACCCCCAAGAATATAGAAAGGTCAACAACATCAAGAGGCAGACCCCCTACTTGGCAGAAAAACAAAAATAAAAGGAAAACCCTGCAAGAGTACAACGTCCCTAGGCAGAACAAAGCCGGCCGCCATCTTATAGTGAAAACTAGCTGCACAGTACCTTGCAGTGATGAAACTACCTCATACCCAGAGGCAAACAGTGGCGCAAAAAACATCCCAGCTGACTCCAAGGGCGGGCAATCACCAAGCAGCAAAAGATCCCTACGGAGGTAGGTCCCAAGCGACTTGTGAAAGGTAACCCCAACCCACAAGGGGCAGTACTTACCGGGCACCTAGGGAAAGTAACCCTAGACGTATGCGGCCCGAGTACATACTTGTGAAATTACTCCTGGTCCACACACCACCTCAGAACAGGACCACGCCACAAGGCACAGCACTGAACAACTTCAGGGACCAGAGTCACACGACTGCCTGGTCTCACATCAGCATCAGAACTAGGGCTGGACAGCTGGCACAGGGGTCTGGAGCTCCCCGCTTTCCCCTCCCAGGGAAGGGGGGAGCTGCGCAGACAGCAGCGCGATGATGGGTGTGACGTCATGCTTTGCTCGTCTTAGTTTGGGGAGTTCAGGTGAACAGTTCGGCTTTCAGCAGCAATTTTTTCACCAGACAGGATTTGTTTTGGATGCCTGACCCGGTTGATGGGAGACATAGAATGCTTCCAACCACACGGGGGTTTCCATAGGCCATTGCTCCTCATGACTCTCTGAGAGGACAAGGTTCTGGCTTGTGGTCCCTGGTAGGCCTAGAACTCCATTTACTTGACTGATGCCAGGGGTCTAATACATTCATATCAGCCCAGATAGCTCCGGGAAGTCGAAGGCCCCCCCCCCCCAAGTAATGAAAGAATGTATTCATATATGGAATAATTGTACACAATGATGACAATACACTAACCTTGGCCTGCTCCTGAGTATTGGGTTGAGATTGTTTTGAGTTAACTGTAACCAGCTTAGCCACCTGTTGTCGGTATTTGGACATTATCAATTCCATTACGTTCTGGTGTTCTTCAAGTGCTAGACGTAATTCTTTATTTTCCTGCAAATTATTAACTCAGTAAGCCTCTCCCTGTTCATAATAGGTAATATTTCAACAGAATAATTATCAGTTCGATAAATACTGTATAGCTATAGTTAAACTAGTTGTGTTAGTGTGTGAGTAACCAAATGAGCACTTCTGTCTTGGCCATTAATATTTACAGGCAACCACCAAAAGGAATATATTACTGCTACTGTTAAATAACTACTAAAAGCTTGTTTCTGTTGGGTAAAACAGCAAGAGAAAAAAGTGCAAGTAAACCCTTGAAGCAGCAATTGATACTGAGATAGGCATACAAGCAAAGCACAAGTTAATGCATGCCAATGTTTATGTACGAATGAGAGGTTAAGATCAAATAATAATTATTTACTGATGAGCACTACATCCTAATAAAATACCAGCATTGAATGTTGACCAGACCACACACTAGATGGTGAAGAGACGACGACGTTTCGATCCATCCTGGACCATTCTCAAGTCACAATCGACTTGAGAATGGTCCAGGACGGACCGAAACGTCGTCGTCACTTCACCTTCTAGTGTGTGGTCTGGTCAACATACTTCAGCCACGTTATTGTGCCTCCTCGTCTACCAGCATTGAATGTAATGAAATGCCATTTCCTGGGTGAGCCCTGGAGGCTCCCTGAAGCTATCCTTACTGATATGTGCTATATTAGTTTTGTGTCATCGTCACAGGCGTCCTTTGCCTACCGAGGACCACAAGCCAGAACCTGGCCCCCCCTCTGAGAGGTGCAGGGAGCAATGGCCTGTGAGCACTTTACATTTAAATTATGTCATAATTGTCATTGACCAGGAAAGGCATCCAGAAAGAGAGGCGAAACAAAGCAGACTACAATCTGATAAAATTTGTGACCTACGTCCGGAAAGAGCAAAAGAACTCCCGCCGAAAGAAAACAAACAAGCAACACTTCAGCCTAGCACTCCCGCTTGTTAGCGCTCTCCCTTCCCCAAAGGGGGGAGGAAAAGCCGGCTCAGGTGAGCTGGCAGCTCACCACTCCAGTTCTTGAACTGATGTGTTGATAGTCGCATAGTCACCTCTGGCCTCAAATTCCTGTTCTGGATTTTCACCCTGTGAGGCTGTTCCAGCTGTGTGTGTGGCATGGTGGCCAGGTGTCTTAATTTACAGGAGCAGCATGCCCCTAGGATTATCTCCCTAAGGTGCTCCGTAAGTACTGCCCTAGCGTTTCAGGATTATCTTCCCTGGGGCCTTTGGGAATCACTCCCCGTTGAGGACTTCTTCGCTTGATGTTGTCTTCGCCCTTGGGATGCGTCGAGGGTCATGGGACTTTCCGTCTTGCCCTGGGTAGGGAAGTGTTTTGGCACTGCGGCTGGTGCAGCTTGCACACGTGGCAGCCAATGTTTCTCTCTGACTGCCAGTTAGTTTGCTGTGTATCTTTGGGGGGTTTTGTTTTAACTTTTTTGGCATTTTCACAAATTTTGGACAGAGTCTGCTTAACTTCTTAGCTTCAACCTAGCCTAGGTTGTGTTGGTAGTCCTCCACTGATGTCCCCCAAGGTTTCACAGCTGCACAGACCACAGCCGGTGGTCAGTTTGCCTGCTAATAGACAGGGTTCTACCAGCTTAGCTGGCCCCCAGTGTCTGAGCTTCTCGTATGGTTTATTCATTCTGCGGGCCATGGAAAACCCCTATGGGCTCGGTGGTACAATGGATACTTCTACTGAGTCCACTCTCGCCCTGTGCAAAGTTGAAGTTTGTTCGTCGCTCCTACCTCTAGGTAGCACTAACGAGCAGAGTGCTTGTTGGATGAAGTGTTGCTTGTTTGTTTTCTTTCTGGGAGAGTTCTTTTGCTCTTTCCAGACATAGGTCGCAAATTTTACCAGATTGTGGTTTGTTTTGTTTTGCCTATCTTTCTGGCTGCCTTGCCCGGTCAATGGCAATTATGACATACAGTACTTTAAATGTAAAGTGCTCACAGGCCATTGCTCCCTGCACCTCTCTGAGGGGGTCAGGTTCTGGTTTGTGGTCCCCGGTAGGCAAAGGATTTGTGTGACTGATGACCCCCAAACTAATACAGTATACCCACAATATCAGTTCAAATTGCTTCAGGGAGCAGATGGGGCTCTCCACAGGCAATCTATCAGAAGCTAAAGATCATTACATCACAGTAATAAAGAGTAAACAAAAATCTACAGGAGAATTTTCCTTTCATGGTGTTTTGTATGTAAGTGGCAGTGTCTTCTCATATCTGTGTCACTCAAGTGGACACACATGTACATGTTACCTCTCACTAATGTATCCTCTCACTAACATGTACAAGCCAGAAAATCTTACAAAAAATGTACAAATTTCCTATGTCAATTTCACCTCCAATAAAGGAGCCAGGTAAAGGAGCCGGGCCAGTTACACAGAATCCTCTAATGAAGTTATGCATCTAATGACAACATTATACAAGCACAATAGTTGCAATAAGCACACTTAGAAAACATTGTGCCTATTGCTACTTATTGGATTGTGTAAGGTTCTACGCTATAAATAATTAAATATATTGGCAAAATGTTTAGGAAATCAACCTATTATTTGGCATATTACCAAACATTTCTCAGGTAATTCCAAGACTTACTTGCTGGAGCTGTCGAATATGTCTGTTCTCCTGTTGGATGGAGTGTATGAGTGCGCTACGAGGTCGGTTGTTAGCTGCCTCATTTAGCTCATTCATCTCCTCACAGTACTGTAAGAGAACAATATATCAGAAATTTGTTATCAGAACTTGTGTTCAACAATAATATTATCTTGCACTACTTGAACCTAAACAAGTCAATACCTTGAAGACAACAGTATGTTTCCTTTTGCTGCGAGAGATACGCTGATGCTGAGGAGTCGTCGTGACTGGAAGCGCAGCTGCTGGGAAGGTTGAAGATGATGGAAGATTCTCTCCCTGGAATGGGTGGGTTGAATTCTCCTGTCCTCTCATGATGGGATGTAGTATTGTACTTGTACCACTTGCACACAGTTCTCACCTTAAATCCTCATTCAATTAGGTTTCTACTCACACTGTTTTAAATATCTTTCAGAGTTAATCATCTCAGTTTCTTTTGAAGGTATGACTCTACTGGATCCAAGAGACAGGATTAACACAGTTAGAATGGGGGTGACATTCACCAGCTTTGCAGGGTCATATTGGTGTTAGTACTGCTGGAGAAAATTCAATATAAAACCAAGTAATCCCCCACAGAGAGCTTGTATATAAATTCAAAGCCACCTCAAGCACTCTTAGGTCAAACATGGCCACTGAGTAGTGCTTTGACTACTACTAGATGGACCTCTTGGCCACTACAGATGGCAGCAGTTGCACTGCAACACAGTGACCAAAGGCAGGACCAAAGAGCCAAAGCTCAACCCCCCCCCCCCCCTCCACAAGCAGAACTAGGTGAGTACAATACTGGAACCAGGTTGGACTTTGTCACATACTTCTTGACTGGGTCTGTGTGTAGTTGTGGCAGGCCAGGAACTGAATCTCCAGTTATGATGCTCATTACATTGTATAAATATAACGAGTCTTTTTATCAAACATAGCTTCTTAGAAGGAACTTGTACATTAACAACTCTTTTATGTGTATGTGGGCCTTGGACACTTCTACTGGCCAATTTCTTTCACGTGAGGATGCAAAGTGTTTGTTTAACCCACCAAGATTGCACCACTGACTGAGCTTGTCTTACATAATTGAGGTTCACAAGTTTGCATTGATCTATTTTGTGTACAGGATTGTGCTGATCTACAGCTAGTCTGGTTGATATACACAAGTATATACAGAAGTATTTAGAGAAGTATCTCTAAATCTAGTTTTTTATGGTTCAACTGGTTAGGTTAGTGGAAGTCAATAGCTAGGTGTCTTGGCAAGCAAACAGACATCCTATTTGTATGCCAGTCTAGTGCAGAGGATCTGGTAGCCTGTTACTCATAATATTGATCATCAGTTCTGCACTTCTAGGTGGGTCAGTATGGCAACTTTTTGTGTGGTTTCGAAAACTAAGCTCGGTGACTGGTGGAAGAAATCCTTACAGAACTCTGACACACTGAAGACGATCCATTCTGAATCCATAATTTCCCCGTGATGGGCTCAGTGTTTTCACCAGGTATTTCTTGTGGCATGTTTGGGTGGCAACCTTGTTTGAGTCACCTGATTGGAACAGAGTTTAACAATCAACTATCAAATTGAGGAAAAACACACCGAAAAATAAGCTCTAGCATTTGAAATTCTTGGCTTTTGCCGAGTCTTATTGGGATTCCATGTTCTTGGGTGACCAACTTATCAGTCAAGAAGAGTGGTGGACTAGAAAGATACTGCTGGGACACTGCAATATCAACACCACAGTTCTGGCCACTAAACATCCAGTTTTTCCAATGCATCCTCTGATGAAATGGCCTAAAATATTTTGGTATGCCTTACACAGGTTTTTGAAGGTACAGGGTCAAAGAGATGTTGTGTTCCTTCTCTATCCCTGGAAAAGTGTTCATGGAGATTCAGAGCATCAGCTATGACCATCCTCTGATCCCACTTTTAATGTAGAAGGGAGAGGGTGGGGGTGGGGGGCTTTTTCCTCTACATATAAAGTTAGCAACTTTTTGTGAAGAGCCATTATCTTCCACACTGGGGTGGAACTCTGCAATGTGTGGGTCCTCATCCATTGCGTTTAAAACATCTCTACCAGAGGTGATGAATGAGAAGCAGGGCAATAAATGAGAAATTTTGGGTGCTGAATAAAAAGCCAACCTGGTTTCCTTCTGACCCTAGTTGGGCATGGCTGTACATATGGGAATCATTTGGTGCTGAACTGAATGAACTCGAGTGCTCTTTAGCACCAGTATGACTCTACAGGAGCTTGGTGAAACTGACCCTGCAGCACTGGTGTGCCTGCCAGCCCTAAGTTGAACAGAGCCAGTTCTTAGGAGCCAGCTGGATCTTACTTTAGTGCCTGAGGGTTGTGTTCAGAAGGAAAACTTTCTGAGGAACTCAAAGCCTATATTTTAAATCTGTATGTTAGGCATAACCTGAAATATTTGTCTGCGAAGAATCATAATCAGTCAAGTTAAGAAACTCCTTTTACTAAAGAAAATATAAATATTACAATGCAATGAGAATTATACAATATAATATGTAAATATTTGGAACGTGTTCGCTCAACAGGCTGATACACGGGAGATCAGGTCAACTGATCACATGAAGGATCTGGCACACAGTTGACTACAGGCTGATTCTATTCCTTATATGATTGTCACCTAATGCTGTTAATGAATAAAGGTTCTTCCTACTAATGCATATAATACTCATAAAATAAATGGGCCATAAGGAGTAGGTTTTAATTGAGCTGAAGTAGGATTACAGCTCTTACAGGCAGTTTCACCAGGTTCCATATATGATAGTTCCCTAAGTGATAGTTAGGTAGTTTTAGAGAACAGTGCATTCTTATGAAATATACATGGCTCTAGGAGCAGGTCTTGGATGAGCTGAGGGTAGGATAACAGCTCTTGCTTTCAGTTTCACCAGATAAATTTATACTCCTTATGAACCCTTGTCTTAGTTTACAAAAAAAGAAAAGAAAGAAAGAAAGAAAGAAAGAAAGAAAGAAAGAGAGAGAGAGAGAGAGAGAGAGAGAGAGAGAGGGGGGGGGGGGGGAGGGGGGAGACAACGTGAGGGAGGGGAGGGGGGAGACGATGTGAGGGAAGGGAAGGGGGAGACGACGTGAGGGAGGGGAGGGGAGGGGGGAGACGACGTGAGGGAGGGGAGGGGAGGGGGAGACGACGTGATGGAGGGGAGGGGAGGGGGGAGACGACGTGAGGGAGGGGAGGGGAGGGGGGAGGCGACGTGAGGGAGGGGAGGGGAGGGGGGAGACGACGTGAGGGAGGGGAGGGGGGAGACGACGTGAGGGAGGGGAGGGGAGGGGGGAGACGACGTGAGGGAGGGGAGGGGAGGGGGGAGACGACGTGAGGGAGGGGAGGGGAGGGGGGAGACGACGTGAGGGAGGGGAGGGGAGGGGGGAGACGACGTGAGGGAGGGGAGGGGAGGAGGGAGACAACGTGAGGAAGGGGAGGGGAGGGGGGAGACGACGTGTGGGAGGGGAGGGGAGGGGGGAGACAACATGAGGGAGGGGAGGGGGGAGACGACGTGAGGGAGGGGAGGGGAGGGGGGAGACAACATGAGGGAGGGGAGGGGAGGGGGGGGAGGGGAGGGGAGGAGGGAGACAACGTGAGGGAAGGGGCGTGTGTGCCGGAGCTTAGCGAGTCAGGAGGACCCAAGTGAAAGTTGCCTCCCGTGTTGACCCATCCTTAACCACCACTACCACCACTGGATTACTTGTGCTGCTGTTGCTGTTACTCAGCATTATGGAGCAACAGGAATCATCGGGCCACAATCATACCTACTATAACTATCACCATTGTCACCTGTAGTGCCAGCATCACATCCACTCCCACAACTGTTATCATAACCCCCCATTCTACCACTGTAGTACCACTTCAATTACAATATTATAACCCCTATCTCTGTATCATTGGTATCAGCCACGCCGCCATTATAGACATACATCACGCTGGTCGTGATGACAACCAACTCCATCACAAAATCATTTTTTTGATGGAGGTGACGCAAGGTCTGCATCACCTTGCGTGACGCAGGTGACACTCAAGGCCACCAATACTAGCCTTACAAACACCATCACCATATGTAAACAAACACATTATCACATGCATAACCTCCTCCACCAAATTAATCCTAACTCCCACTACCCACCACAACACCACCACTGACAACAGTACTAACCAACACTACAACAGTCCTAACCAACACTACCCACCACAACACCACCACTGCCAACAGTCCTAACCAACACTACCCACCACAACACCACCACTGCCAACAGTCCTAACCAACACTACCCACCACAACACCACCTCTGCCAACAGTACTAACCAACACTACCCACCACAACACCACCACTGTCAACAGTACTAACCAACACTACCCACCACAACACCACCTCTGCCAACAGTCCTAACCAACACTACCCACCACAACACCACCACAACACCACCACTGCCTACAGTTGGGTATGAGCATCAACAATATGCTCACTTTGGAACACTCTACCAGTCCTCAGTTGTCATGACAACCAGCATCAGATGAATGGTATATAAAATGTGGCAATGAATCGTGTATTTCCAAAATCAAAGAGAGGTTTTGTTGCATTCTCTGATATGACTACATTAAAAAATTATAGAATGAAGCGATAAAACACAAATAATAATCATATAATTATGCTGGCCATAACAAACTATACATTTGTAATTAACAAACACCAGCACCTGGGTTCACAATGTAGACATCGTTTCCCAAGTCTATATGACAAGGTATCACAGTGTGGTCACTGGGCAGGCAATGCTGGCTTATTTATTCTCACAACGGAGCACTTGCGTCTTGCACAAATTATTCGACAGTAATTTGAGGCTGCAACACCCACTCGTCACTTTAACACACACACAATCTTAGCACAATTCTTGAATCATTCATCTAGCTGAACTTCACTGACACTTAGCATGGTTATAAATATTGAACATAGAGTATTAAAAATTACAATTTCTTTGACAAGAAACATTACATTTCTTAGTTCAGTGGTTAGTTGCAATGATTTCTAATCTTCAGTGACTACTTCACACCACCACTATGTAAGTGC